ACCTAGTAAGCATCAGACCTAGTTTCGATCCCGTTCGGCTCTCCAGTCCCCTAGTTCCACCGGTTTATCGTGATTAGAAAGTCGCTCTTTTTGTAAGGATGGGCGTTTGTGTTACGAATAAGCCACCAATGAGCCAATCAATTCGTTCAGAAACAGACAACTGATTGATAGTAACTGAGCAGCGTGGTGTTTTCAACACGGTTAGTGAACCGGAATTTCCTTATCCGATTGACAGAGCGTTGCATCATGAGTCAGTTTCTAACAGTTACCCAATTTGGAGATTTGAGTTAACCACGTTTATCTGCATGCCGCTCCATTGAAATTGACTGACAAACATCTACCTGACACCAGTTTGGAATGTGCTAGGGGTTCTAATTGCTTAACCGCCTTTCTGCTCTGCACATTCACACTGACATTGCAGATATCTTTGCGGCTCGTTTGCAGTGTCAAGCACTTCTTAATCGGAGAGAAGCGGACGTACGCAGTTCCGTAGATGGATTTCTGTTTGCCTGCGTAAAATTCGTACCGTAAAGCTTGTTCCAACAGTCGAGGTACGTCATCGTCGTTGATTGGAATGTATGGCTTCCTATCCCCACAAGAGAGTAACATTAATCTAATCGACTGTTTTCGTTGAACACGTCAATGTAACCGTTTTGCTCTAGAGTATAGTGAGCAACTCGAATTATTCTTCTAGCCTGTACTCGATGCAGATGCGCCTACCGCGAGGCAATGGATTATGAACCAGACCACGTTCGTACGGTGGAGGCAGAAGACTTGCAAAGGTTTTGTATTGTTCTGGCTATATCCCTTGAGGGGAGACAAATATTCCAAGTTAGAATTTCGGGTGACTTTGAAGATCAGGTAGTTCAGGCGTATATTTGATTTCTCCCTTTCCATGGTAGAATTAATGATCAGATCTAAGTGGTTGATTGCATCAGTAGCATGTTTTTCTTCCTAGAAGCTATTCGAAAAGCTGAAGGCATCAATTATAGTGTGATTTATATTTGTTTTCCGAGCTTTGAAGACTTGCTTTAAATAAGCTGTTTGTGATTAGCCCCATCTGAATTCCCCTGTCCTCCCCCCTCCATCCATTTTTGCTGTTGAAGGATGAATAATTATACACAATTTGACTTGTGTTTTGTTTATGTAATCACACTATTCGCATGGCTCCGTGGATAAATGAGAACATTGATGAATTGCGATTGCACACCATGGAGGGACATGTAATTCCCGTTGGTTTCATGATTGCTCCTTAACGAACGTATTCTGAATGATATTTTTCAACACGGAACGTCTTATATGTTCTGTTTGATGGGAGAGGTCTTACAGGAAAACCGGACTTGTTAGTTTGATTCAGTTAAACTTAATTTGGTCCTGGCTTACTGGTTGTTTTCGTTCAGGGATTTGGAGTTCGTATGCGATTCTCGAACAAACTTTCGCTTAAGTGAAAATAAAGTTTTAGTTTTCAGTATCTAGATCCATTGCCCGTGCCATGTGGTGCAACAGTTTTGATTACTGTCTCCCAGCTACCCAATTCTCGGTCGATCCATGCGAGAGAATTGAACGGAAAGTAACTGAAGCCGGGAGCACAATCGAGTCAAAAATACAGGATGGAATTGAAAGAGATCTACGTCGGAACGGACTAGATGTACGAGTACCAGTAATCGTGGGAATCAGACAAATCACCGCGTTTCCTTAACCATCGTTTATGTTGATCGAAATCCACTCCCATCCTTAGCGAGGAGGTCTAATCTGACCTATTTGTCAGTACGTTCGTACTCATTTCCTATCCGGACCAGCTTCGACCGTCTACAATTTCTTTATAGCCAGGCGCTGATCCTGTGCCGATGAAGCTTGTCCCTATGTCCCAGTTACCCTAATTTATCGAGAAACTTCACCTGATACTGTAATTAACCAAACATCCACGTCATACCTTTCTGCTACTTATCTAGTTGTCCCACCCTACTCCTCTAATCAGGCGTAGACAGTGGTATTTGAACACCGGTAACCGGTCGTTATAGTTCTTTCTCACTGATCTTATCTCTGAGGCACACAGGAGAACCGAATAAGGTACTGGCGGTTAATTTTGTTTCATATCTCTCACCTCTGTGGAAGACAGTCGTTTTTCTTGTTCCTAATCTCAAGTTTTCACCCTAATCCATTGCAGGTCACATGGAAACCGAAGTGTTAGACAGATCTACCATTCGTGCGTGAATCAAAATCAATGGAACGTATGAAGTCGCTCATTCAGTTTGATTGTTTGATCTGTTTGTTTTCTTTTGTTTTGACCAACTAGTATTAATAATAAAACTATAGCAGTAAAATCCTTTCATTTCCTATGGAATTCGGCATGCGACCAAAATAAAAACTATTTTTTAATCAAACTCAGGAAGTAGGAGCTGATTATCTGATAAGTTATGGGCAGCGCCCATTACCGATCAGTGTGTGAATTGTGCGCACGAATTCTGTAACGGAATAAACTGGATGGCGATGATTTGATGAGTGAGCATCGACGTGACCAGCAACTGATAGGTCATTCTACCTCATACTCCTGGCTTACTATGACTCAAGACATGCAATGTTTGTAGATAAGTTTCGAAACCAATCAAATATATATCTTAATTTGACGTAAGATACTTGCCTAGATCCGAAGCTACTCATAAAGCAGTAGTATTCCTTGCACAACGTTGCGGTATCACAATTGATGCGCATTATAACAAATTGCATCAATTTCCCTGCGTTCTCCTACCATCTCCGTGTATGTTCCTACAAATCAGGAATTTAATTTTCTCCGATGCTCTTCATTCAGTGAAAGTAATAATGTACACACATTTATAACTCTTTAACCTCACTGACAAAAGTATGAAAATATGCCCGGTGGCAACATCATGATGAAAATTTCACGGATACCAAACTTTATCGCACAATTTGGATGCCAATAATCATGGATGAGGTGCTTTCCATCTGTACTCTGACTTATATTTACTTCATTCCACACGCTCTAAAATTCGACTTGGTCTTTGCTATCTTCTACTCATATCCTCATACTTTCGTCTCGTGCATCTAGAAAGATTTCTTGCCCACCACAATGTTATATTGCTATAATGTAATGTGGCAGACTCTCAGTTCGTTCATTGTGTTCATGCTGAGAGTAAAATCTCTCGTTTGGTTGGTTGATGTTCATTCTTCATCGATTATTAACTAGCCCTACCGCTGCCTCACGTTGTTTGCACCGTTATGAACAAAGAAATTGCACTTCGATGTTTGTCACTCTTTGTCACCCCCAGCTTCACCCCATCCCCCACCCCAACTTTTAACAGATTGCATTAGGCTGGATCGTCGCTCAATGAGAGTCGGGACACTTGATCCAAAGGGAAATCCAATGGAATTGAATAAACCAAGTCACTTGAATTTGAAACATTTTTTGGGATGAAAAATTTGAAAAGACAATCAGCACCGTGTCACCCAAATATTCCGGACCACATAACTTGCCATCTAGGAGAATATTGATAACGTAGAAAGTTCATTGATATCGGGTAATCTCTACAATCAACCTTTTAACTTAAAGAAGACATCAGGGAAAAGAACCCTAATGAGCACCGCTCTCGTTGGTGAGCTCGAGCAAAAATAGCCTTAAAGTCAGAAGTCGTTTCGACTGTTCGTGAACAAGGATCGGAAAATTGAAAACATTTTTAAAGTACAGCAGTAAGAGACAGTACCGGATCACAGAGTGGTTGAGTGAGTCGAAGACTACTTCTTGATAAAAACGAATCAACTCATGCATTGAGATACAACAAAAAATTAGATGTAGGAGTTCACGATTGCACAACCGAAAATTCTAACTGCCTTTGTATATTTCGCAATGGTATGCAAAACAATCATCGAAATTTGGTATTAATATGAATGTCACACAGGTTGTTGGGTAAATGCGGCTAACTCGAGTCAAGTCAAGAAGCAGCTTTAACTCGCCCCATAGGAAATGAACATTCAGCTACTACACAATTACTCTTCTGGGGAACTGGCATGGTAAAAACAAAACAAAAAGGATAATGATAATCTGCATATACAAACAAACAAGGGAAATTTGGTGAATTTTGTGTTTAAGGGTCCCAATGAAAAGATCGGCGTTAGTAAGAAACCGTGCCAAGTACGGTATTATGGAAGACTTGTATATTGTGGTGCGTGCGGTTATATTCTGATACTTCGATTGAGTGCTAGATGTAGAGACACATTTACTAAGGTGAGAGTACAGTGAGTGAGATGGGTCTCGTAGTATCCTGGCAGAAAGTTCCTGACAAGCTCTAAAGTGCTGTGAAATAATAAACTGCACAACATGCTCAAGAGATATACCACTGTTTGAAGGATGTACGTATGAGTTCGAAGTGTTTGAATAAAAGATGCGGAAAAATAACTGGGGATACATAAAGCCAGTGGGGAAGGATACAAGACAAGACAAAAACGTTTTATTAGATGAGTTCGGGTAGATAGCAGTTTTAAACGAATAATGTAAAAAATGAGTTTCCTGACTTTGTGAAACGTCTCAAAGATATGAGGAGACCCAGAAAGATTGTAGAAAATGATGACTCCCAGGCATTTGACGGAGCATACTCTGGAAACTTGATCGTCATTCATAATGACATGCTGGCAGGAGTTCATCACATCAATGTATTGGTCACCCTTCAGCAAAGAAAATAAATCATACTTACCCTTGGAAGGATTCATTATAAGGTTGTATTGTGAAGACCAATCGGTGAGCAGTGAAATATTCTGCGTAACTGTAGTGAACATGTATAAACTGAACATTCTTGTTTCATTACATGCTTGATTGGCTTTGTACAATTTCGGCCCGTTATATAATTCGATTTCAAATATTCTGATGTTTTATTTCATACTGCGTACTAGTTCGGTTGGAGCTTAACTGCGCGGAGTTATTGCGATTCGAATTCCGATACCAAAAACATATTATCACATTTGGTGTCGCGGCCAGTTTTTATCACATTATGGACACCTGCAAATTAGAAATTCTTGATATTCATTGCAATTCACGTTATGTGAAAGATTATTTGGAGCGTTTTGAGATTTGGTGCCTCAACCGCAAGAGTCTGGACGCTGAGAGGAAGACGGCACATTTTCTTACTGCTGTTGGAAAGGAAGCTTATGCGCTAATTAAAACTTTGGCATTCCCAGAGTCACCAACACAACTGAAGTGCAACGAATTGAAAGAGTTGTTACTAAAAGATTTCCAGTCGGTCAACTTCGAGGCAGCTGAGCGAGCCAAATCCCATTGCCTTGCTTGTGATCCTAATCAGTCCGTCCGAGACTTCATTCTTCAGCTGCAGACTCAATCTGTGCGCTGTAATTTCAAAGATCAGCTTCAACCCAGCTCCGTATTAAACTCATTGCTGGACTTAACTGTTTTGAACTACAGCAGCAGTTATTGTTGGTTCCAAACTGCACATTTCAAACCGCAAATTTGGTCTGCGAACAATATCATATCTACGACGTACAGTATCATCGTTTAGATCCAATATGCGACATACTCTTTTTCCCATACGGTCTAGTACAATGCCCCTGAAGGGTCGTAAACTGTTACCACGACGATACACGACTTCCGCAGACTACAAGTTTAGAGGATTGGTTCGAAGTACTCGAATGTTGAACAGCTTCGCTGGACTGTGCCCCGTAGTTGAATGTGCTGCTTTACGGTATTGCATTTGAAAGTTATCGACGCCTCTGTCCAGTTCATCGAATGTATTGGGATTTAAGGAAGCAATGGCACTATTCAGCGTGCGCACAAATTTTTCGCCTGCGCCATTGGATTGTGGATGTCGGGGAGGAGTGGGAACATGCCGGCAATTCACGGAGTTCAACAAATTGGCAACTTCCTTGGCAGTAAAATGACTTCTATTGTCAGTCACGATAGCATGCGGGACACCTCTACTGAACGTTTTCCTGAATGCTCGAATAGTAAATTCTGAAATGGGCGATGCAGTAAAGTAAACTTCCCGTCTACGGAGGTACAATAATGCGATCGTTGTAGCACAAGACACCATCACACGTCACAGAAATTTTCTCACAACGTTTATAGGATTCCGGAAATCTACGCTTGATATCACCTCGCCAATCTCGACGGACACAGGAAATGATAGCGTGGTAATATTTTCTGGTCTCGCGAACTAGACCAGATCGGCTTACCGGGAGCGGTTGAGTGAGTAGACAAACACCCATAGAAGTCTCCCCTGAAATGGCGTAGCGTGATAGATAGTCTGCATTTGGAATGGACTGCGCGCTGCGATGATGGGTGTCGTAGGAATAGGTAGACAACACAATACTCCATCGTTGTACCATGGCTGCAGATGACTTGGCCAGGGAACGTTGAGGGTTGTAAATAAACTGTATGGCTTCATGATCACTCACAATAGTGAAATGAGTATCATAAAGATACTTGTGCATACGCGTGACAACCCAATACACAGCTAGAGCTTCTCGTTGAGTTTGGGAATACCCACGTTCGGCAGCCGTGAGCCTGAGTGACATGCACAGCATCGGGTGACCACTCTGCTCCAACACAGCTCCAATTCCAATGGGCGATGAGTCCGTGATGATGGTAGAATGTAATCGTGGGGAAAAAGGACGTAAAACAACAATGAAAGATAAAAAGGAAAGTAACTTCCTCTATACAAGTCCATTGACTGAAGTTCACTGAAATGTTTGCTGTGACTGTAAATCGAACAATTGAGCATCTTGGGTTGAAAAGTTAAGAATAAACTTGGAATAGTATTGTAAAGAACCAATTAAAGAACGAAGTTCATGGAATGACTTGGGAGATGGAGTATTGGTCAAAGAAGAAAATCGTTTAGGGTTAGGACGGAATCCACACTCATCAACCAAATAACTTAAACGAGAAAGTTTAGTCGTAGCAAAGGCACATTTATCAGGGCTGATAGAAACATTATGAGAACGAAATCTTTCAAGCAAAGCAAACAAACGTTCGTCTTGTAACTATCTGTTAGGAGCATGAACAATAATATCGTCCTGATAGGCACATACATCTTGTAAATCGGAAATGATGGAATTAATAGTAGTTTGAAAAATAGCGGGTGAGACATTGAGTCCAAAAGGTAGAAAATTGTAGCGAAATAAACCAAAAGGTGTGCTAATCGTCGTGAGTTCACGAGACTTTTCATCAAGAGGAATTTGAAGAAATGCATCTTTTAAGTCTAGACTAGAGAAAAAACTGGATCCATGAAGTTGGTGCAGAATGTATTCCGGTTCGACGGTGGCACAAGTGGACTGTTTCAGCTGTCTGTTCACAGTAACTCGATAATCCCCACGTATCCTAGGAGGCTTCCCGTCACTTTTTAGTGGAGTAACAATTGGCGTGGCCTAAGCCGAAGAATTTAAAGGTATCAGAACATCCTTGCTTACCATTTCATCTAACGCCTTTTGTACGGGCTCACGAAGTCCAAGAGGGGTTAATCCGACGTTTCATAAACACCGGAGAACCGGTCGATTCTAGACTCACATGAGTCATTTTGATACCACCCTTTGCTTTGGAACATTTAAGTACTAAGTGACAAAGGCTTGATTGATGGGAGTCAGACATGAATCAAAACTGCAAATGCATACGATTCAAATCAATTCAAACTGCAAACTGCAAATGCATACAATTTGTGCTATTCAAACCAATTATAGAAATATCGGAATCAATAACCAAAAAAGGGCAGTGAAATGTTTGTGATTTATCATCTTTAAGAAGCATTTCGCATGATCCTAAGACGGGCAAAGATTGACCAGTAATTCCCTTAACTGAAATCTCTGTTGGTGAAAGTACAACTGGGGGCTAACTGACGAAATACCTTGTTGGAAATGAAAGAATCAACAATACCGGTGTCCATGATGAATGTATGGCGAATGGAGTCATTAATGATGAAGTCGCGAGTAGTGTGGCGAGAAGAACGTAAACTAGTACTGGCTAGAGTTAAGGACTGTAAATCACACAATAAATCTTTAGGGGAATGAACAGTCGTACGTTTTGTAACACACGACTTCGCACTTTTACAAACAGACTGGATATGGGCAAACTTACTGCAATTGTGACACTTGGCATTACGAAATCTACAGGATAACCGCGAATATCTTTAACCACAGGGATTGCACTTGTTCCATCGTTGAATCTGTTGGCCATTGTGGGCTGGAGAACTCATTTTGCTTGGTGTTTTCGAGCCCTTTTCGAAAAACCGCTTTCGTCGGGATGGTGACTGTTCAGAATTGCTGGCATTGAACAACAAGTTGAGTTCATCACAAATAATCGCACGGACGTCTTGGTACTGTTCACAGACTGCCTTAACCGACTGAAATATGCAACCGTGCTTGATCAGGAGCTTTTGCTGTTGTTTAGGGCAATTAATACCAGCAATTAATCGATCTCGTAGCTGGATTTGCAATTGATCTTCACAATCGCAACGAGATGCTTGAGTCTGAAGCTGAAGAATAAAGTCACGTACAGGTTGGCTTCCACCACATGTGAATGAATGAAATTTGGCTCGCTTAGCGGCTTCGAAATTGGCCGGCTGTAGATGCTTCAGCAGTACGGTTTTCAGAGATTCATAGGACAACGGCATAGGAGCGTCACGAAATGTCACATTCTTCAACAGTGAGTATGCATCCTTTTCGATGACCGTTAGGAAATTAGCCATTTTGCGTTCTCCATCGAGTACTTTCCGCGTAATACACCAATTCTCGAATCTTTCAAGATAACCTTCGACCTCGTGCGCACTGGCATGTATAATAAAGTTCTCCAAATTACAGGACTCCATTGGTTCAAAATGATCTCAACGCCAGCTGTTGTGGTGTGCACTCCGAATAGCAATTCGTATACGTATCGGATTCCGCGCAGTAATAGTCCAACCCAGAACTAAAACTCCAAACGAAATCATAACACAGAACTCAAAGACGAAATGTAACTGTAATAAGCGGAAATTCAGAATGTGCAAGGATATCGTGTTCAATAAAACAAAAGAGTTCATAGTTCTTGAGCAATCACCACAATAATAATTTTATTGTACTACATTCTTGTGCCTTTTATACGACGGTATGGGATATACCTTGAGTAGTCGAGCGACTATTCGATAGAAGCCAAACAGTAGGTTCAAATATAGACGGTACAGTTAAGTGGGAGGTATAGAGCGTATGTTGATCAGAAACATGCGAGGTAGGTGAAGTACGAGTAAAGTAGGGAGTGGAAAAACGGTAAAAGAAATGAATGGATAAAAGAGGTTCGTTTCGTCGGTGACGGAGAAAACTTGCAAAGTGCCTGTTGCAAATTCTTTCTTTCTTCTTTTTTCTTTTCATTTTACTTCCTTTTATTGAATACACAATGATACAATTTTCAGGAAGGTGGAAGCGGTCAATCAAAGGGCTGCCATACAATACACAAATAGAGAAAGTCAGGCGGTGGTGGTGGGATTCGAACACACGACCTCCGGGATGCTAATTTGGTGACGTCACCACCGTGCCACCACCGCTCGCTTTCATTCGCCAAACGTTTCACGAAACAGAACGCGAAAGACTGCTCGTTATATTCGCGTTTTTTCTGGCAGGGTAGTTGGCCTAAAGCGTAGTATAATTATTGATTTGAGCTGACTATCCTTCGGACTTCACGTTCACGCACAATCCTCAGTTCATCGATTCAACATTACACTCGGAAGCACTAGACTCGAACTTCACTCTTATTAGAGCTCAGCAGTAGTGCATATCCACCTTCCCGTCCGAAATTTGAGCTCCGGACCCATCGCATGGAAGGCGTGTGCGTTACCACTGTGCCAAATCAATAAAAACCAATTATCCCACACTACTACTCACAAGTTATTGTGAGTCAAATGCGAAGTAGTATATAAAATAGATTGATACGCACCAGATCCCCGTAGAACAATTCATCTTCCATCTTCTCTATCACATCATTCAAATCTGATAGAGTTTTGGCAGGTATCCGAAAATTGAGAATTGGAATGTCGTTCCTGCTTCTTAAGTGAACCAGGGTCACCATAATGAAATTTACATCAATTTCATAAAGCTCTCCTGAAGCATTCTGAACCCAACCTTCGAATATTCAGGTTTCATTATCAGATCTATCACTTCTGCCATATCACCGAGCAGGGAGCGCACATTTCCACTGATGATTGCTGGAATGCAGATCTGCATTCCAGACATCGATGTCTGATACTGAGCGTATGCGTAGTGCGACCTACCAGGCAGCTCGTTGTTTTCTTGGAAACTTTTTGAGATTTCCGTAAATTCTTCTCTCTCTGTTACGAACCGATTTGCCACTAGAAGGTGGCCGGAAATTTGAAGTCCATTGACGAAGGCAGCAAAGCATTTCACTGAATTTAGGATGACCATAGTGGTGAAGAGTGATCGTGTATTTCCTAGTCCGACGTTGCAACAGACCGCGCGGCCAAATTCAAAAGCCCCATCGCTGGGCCAGATTAACTAGTAGTTCACGCCATTGTTATCCAACAGG